GCATATTAGAATGATTTCTGAAGATCATGTGACACTGAAGACTGGAGCAATGATGATTGAATGATGAAAATTCAGCTTTGATCACAGCAATAAATTACATTTTAAAGTATGTTAAAATAGAAAACCATTATTTTAAATTGCAATATTTCACAATATTACTGTTTTTTCTGTATTTCTAATCACATAAATGTAGCCTTGATGAGCAGAAGAGACTTCTTTAAAGAACATTACAAATCTTACTTATCCCAAAATTTTGAAAGGCAGTGTGATATATATATATATATATATATATATATATTGAATGATGAAAATTCAGCTTTGATCACAGCAATAAATTACATTTTAAAGTATGTTAAAATAGAAAACCATTATTTTAAATTGCAATATTTCACAATATAACACATTATTACATTTTTAAATTGTTCGATTTTAAATTAAAATTTTGTTTGGTGTCACAAAAATCACACTTCACCTTTAGTATCTGTTGTATTGTCTTTTAAATACTTGATGATTAAGATATCAAGAGATATCACTCCAGTAATCGTTAAATCAGTAATCAGCAAATCGGGAACACTTTACAATAAGGTCTCATTCATTAACGTTAGCTAAGAAGAACCTAAAAATAAGCAATGCATTTCTTACAGAATGTATATACCTTTGTTAATGTTAAATACAGTTGTTCATGTTAGTTGTTATGTTCATGTTAGGTCATGTTATGTTGAAATTAGCATTATCTACGATTCATAAATGCTGTAGAAGTATTGCTACATTTACATTCTTCATCGTTCAAATCGACATAAAAGGAATACAACAAGTAACTGTTAATAAATGCAATTATGAGAATAATGCAAATGACAGAACAAAACTCTTTTGGCTTCAAAAAGGCTTCATTTTCTTTATGAAAAATCAAATTTTGTGCAGTGAAATATGATCAGTACCTGGTTTTGTGAGATTCACCCAAACTGTAGTCTGCCTGGTTACTCTCTCCATCACTGTTTGAGTTTAAGAGCCGGAATGAGCTTCAACACGAGCTCACATTGAGAGACAGAAGATATCTGCGCTGTTAAAGCAGACGATGAGCGTCGGCTCTGACGGTATTCCTGACAATAAACAATACTGTGGACTTTCAAACAGTCGCTAACTGGATAATGGTTTCTGCCTTTTGACTCTCATAAGCCTGTTTGCTTCTGCTAGTCCTGTTTGTTTTTGTTAACCAAGCGATTTCAGCAGCTCGGCTTTGCCACATCAGGACTTGAGGAAACACACCATATGTGCTCCGTTTCATGGTTTACACTAGAAACCATGAGAGAAACTTGAAAAAAAAAGAAAAAAAAATCAGCTTCAGTAGTATTTGTATCATTTGTACTCCAATTATTACCATTAATACCACGCTTTGTACACACTTTGAACTGGGAAACAGAATCAGCTTATTGAATGGATACTGTGTATCCTGAAGTAGTCAAAAATATAACATTATAGTGTTAGAATACTACTTTTTTTTGTACCTTTCAGGAGGACGAGGAAAAATAGACACGTCATAAAACATGGATTATTATAATTAATTATTATTCAGCATCACTGTTATTTGTTATTAGGGATACCACATTAAATGTTATGATCAAAATGTGTTGTACATAATGTTTGATATTAAGGTATTAATTTGATTCACATGTCTTTTCTAAAAAAAAATATGAGTGCAAAACGTTGGGATGTTTGCGTACGACAAACGCAGCCAATCAGAGACCACCTTTGAAGCCCCGAGCCAATAGGAACGCTTCATCTGTTTTTAAATCTCCTGCCAACGTTTTTGGATCCGATCAGACGGATGGAGTTCAAAGGTGCAGCGTTTGTTCAGATGATGCTGTGTTTGCCGGACTGTCTGTGATTTTAACGAAAGGAACTTGCTGGTTTCATAACGTGGCATGTGCATGGACTTGATAATGAAAAACATGTTAAATAAAGTGTTCTTTTGGCTGTTTTCACCTCTTCTTTTCTTGACACGTTCGTGTGTGCTGTAGTTCGACTGAAATGCGAAGGTTATGCAGGAGAGTGCTGTAGTTTTGCACAAGCACTGCTCCAGAATGTTTGCTGCGGTGCAGAAGGTTCTAGAGTTGTTTGTTTGATTGTTTTCAATGGTTTTGGGAATAAATCATCTGTCATGAGTTCACGTCAACAGAGCGCCGCAGACTGGCTCTCAGCGTCCAGAAACATTTTTAGTGTTTTTAGAGTTTAAGAGTGGGAATCTGTTCAGTATATGTGTGTGAATTTAAACTGAACTGAAACAGGACGATGAACTGAAATGAAATGACAGGAAGAGAAAAAAATTTCCCTTCAAAATACATGATTTGTGCTTATTTATTCCCTGATATATATATATTTTATGGTGACACTTTACAATAAGGTTCCATTTTTTTAACTATATTTAATGCATTAACTAACATTACTTAACAATGAGCAATACACTGTTACAGTATTTATTAATCTCTGTTAACGTTAGTTAATACAAATACAGCTAGTCCATGTTAGCTCAGGTCCATTAAATAACATTAACAGATACAACATTTGATTTTAATAATGTATTAGTAAATGTTGGAATCAACATTGCCTAAGATTATACTTTGTATTTTTTATTGTTAGTTAACTAATGTTAACAAATAGAACCTTATTGTAAAGTGTTACCTTTTTTTTTTTTTTTCTAACAGCCCATCTTTTTTTTTAGATCTATTAATAAAATGTGAAAATTGTTTGACATGAGCTACAACCTTGTGCAATAATAATAAGCTTGTGTCAGAAAACTTTATTGTGCATAAACTGGCTTTGATTCATTTTGTGGTCCATGAAAACATTTTATATCATACAATTTTTTTTTTAAACATTAGATTAAGTTTAAATACTATAAAATAGTGGAGTTAAATTTTTTAACACTGTATAGATTTTAAAACTAAATATAATGAATTATTACAATATACATTATTTAACTATTTACATTATTATTCTAGCTAGATGCTTTTTTGTATGCTATAAAATGTTTCTGGGTAATTCATACTGAGAAAGGAAATTAACTTTTATAGACCATGAAATAAATCAAAAGCCAGTAGATGCATTATGAAGTTTTCCGACACAAGCTTACAGTTTTATTAGTGCACAAGTTTGTGTACTAATACCATACAATTGCCATACCATACAATTTTCAAATTTGATTGATTCATCCAAAATATATTTTTTTTGTATATGATTTGTATAATATAAAATGTTTATGGGTAATTGATACTGAAAAATGAAATGTATTTACTGTAAAACTGTACTTAATTTCTTTGTGTTTAATTCCTTCAACTTTAAAAGATAATTCTGCGGCTCAGTTCCTCTTCTGAAAGAATTCTGCTCGACTCTCTATTTTTAGATCTATTAATAAAATGTGAAAATTGTTTGACATGAGCTACAACCTTGTGCAATAATAATAAGCTTGTGTCAGAAAACTTTATTGTGCATAAACTGGCTTTGATTCATTTTGTGGTCCATGAAAACATTTTATATCATACAATTTTTTTTTAAAACATTAGATTAAGTTTATTGTAATACTTCATTTATATTTATATTTAGTTTTAAAATATAGTCCAGTATTTTATAGTATTTTTGATTTTTAAATATTAGTTAATTTATTATGTATATTTGTAACATTATAGAAAGTATTAAATTAAATTAACATATATATATAAATAAATCAAAAGCCAGTAGATGCATTATGAAGTTTTCCGACACAAGCTTACAGTTTTATTAGTGCACAAGTTTGTGTACTAATACCATACAATTGCCATACCATACAATTTTCAAATTTGATTGATTCATCCAAAATATATTTTTTTTGTATATGATTTGTATAATATAAAATGTTTATGGGTAATTGATACTGAAAAATGAAATGTATTTACTGTAAAACTGTACTTAATTTCTTTGTGTTTAATTCCTTCAACTTTAAAAGATAATTCTGCGGCTCAGTTCCTCTTCTGAAAGAATTCTGCTCGACTCTCTACAGACCGCAGTCATTCTAGTCTTAGTGATAGAGTCTTACACATGCCTTAGTCAACACACTCCTAACGAACACAAGAGATGCTCGCCGCTGTGTGTGTGTGTGCGTGTCCTCTTTACTAGCAGCCTGTTTAAACTGAAGTGTGCTGGAGAAACTGTGTGAGTGTGAGTGTGTGTGTGTGTGTGTGTGTGTGTGCGTGCGTGCGTGTGTGTGTGTGTGTGTGTGTGTGTGCGTGCGTGCGTGTGTGTGTGTGTGTGTGTGTGTGTGCGTGCGTGCGTGTGTGTGTGTGTGTGTGTGTGTGTGCGTGCGTGCGTGTGTGTGTGTGTGTGTGTGTGTGTGCGTGCGTGCGTGTGTGTGTGTGTGTGTGTGTGTGTGCGTGCGTGCGTGTGTGTGTGTGTGTGTGTGTGTGTGCGTGCGTGCGTGTGTGTGTGTGTGTGTGTGTGTGTGCGTGCGTGCGTGTGTGTGTGTGTGTGTGTGTGTGTGCGTGCGTGCGTGTGTGTGTGTGTGTGTGTGTGTGTGCGTGCGTGCGTGTGTGTGTGTGTGTGTGTGTGTGTGCGTGCGTGCGTGTGTGTGTGTGTGTGTGTGTGTGTGTTGATTCAGATCTCACTCACTCCTGTACTTCTGATGACACTGGTTCTGCTCTTCTGCATAAATAGGTGCTGTACTTGCTTTTTCCCCACTGTACAAACAGGAACAAACTTTTGGGGAAAAAAGAAAGTAAAAAAATCTAAGGTCTGTATTTGTATATACACGTGTCTGAACAACTATAAATAATAATTAAAGAAAAAAAATGCATTGCTTGGCTGGTTTATTGTGCTTGTTTACTCGGGGCTAGTTGTCACACTCCTATAAGCATTTCTCAGGGTAAATATATAGTTATTTTTGTGTAGGCACAAACATTAAAGTTTAAAGTTTCAAAAATTGTTTTTGAAAATTTCCATAATTCCATTAATTACCATGAAAAATTTTATTTAACACTCATTAACCATGTTGTCAATGTGCCTGCTGTTAAAGAATGTGATTGTTGGAAATATGAAAGTACTACACAGTTTATGAAACAGCAAAATGAGAAAAGGTAGTATATAACACAAACAGCACTGTAATGGTCTCCAGATCCAAGTGATTCATTTCAGCACAATGAAAAGACCACAAATCATCTTATTAATGGATTATATGAATGTAAGCTCTGAATTGTCTAAATACGTTCTCAACAGTTTTCATGACATGAATAAAAGACCATTTGGTTCATGCTCCATATATGCCACACTTTCAAGAAAATAGCTTTTTTACATTTTCTCATTTCAATTGAAAAGGTTACCATTGAAAAATGAATCGCTGTGAGTTCAATTTGACTAGGCCTGTATAAATGTGAACAACAGATACTGATAAAGACTAAAAGAAATGCTCCCGCTGGAATCATTTAGTCAGAAAAGCATGAAGAAAAACTGCACAGTAAGCATGCATATTAATTTGAACAAAAGCAAAATGAGGTAGAACTGATTTTATTGAAGCTCATTAAAATGTAATAATGGGGACATGAAAATGTCTGGTATTCCAAGAAAAATAAATTCATGATTTATTAAAGTTATTATGCATTACACACTAAAGCTATTAAAGTAGGCAAAGCAATTAGCACAACGATCATTTAAAGTGTTTTACATAAAAGTGATTAAACAATTCATAGTAATAAAATGTACATAGAAATAAAAAGACACATATGTATACAGAAATACATTGCAGCATCTTAATGATTGCACTGTATTAATTTAAGTTAATAAAGGACACATAATCTAATGTCTGTACAACATTTCATTTTCATGCAATAGTCAATTTTGAGATTTTGGACATTATTTCATAACGTGCCGTTTCATACTAGTGGAAAGAAAACATCCAAAATACACACTTTAAGCATTTATTTTATTACACTTTATCTACTTGCATCTGTAGATTTCAATTACAATAAAGGCCATTTTCTAAAATGAGTTTTTATCTCCACTTCAGCAGCACTTACATGCACCAAAATTTAGAGTTTTATTCCTATATATATATTCTGAAGATTTTTACAGAAGGGTTTGTTCATAATCATTCACCTTGAGTTTATTATTGCACTTTATCGATTTGGTCTGCAGATTTCACTTACAATATGCATCTTTAAAGGCCATTTTCTAAAATGAGGTTTTTATCTCCACTTCAGCAGCACTTACATGCACCAACATTTAGAGTTTTATTCCTATCTATATTCTGAAGATTTTTTACAGAAGGCTTTGTTCATATATCATTCATCTTTATAGGTTTATTATGGCAATTTCTCTGTTTCCGTCTGTATATTTCAATTGCAATATGTATCTTTAAAGGCCATTTTCTCAAAATGAGTTTGTTCCTCCACTTCAGCAGCACTTACATGCACCAACATTTAGAGTTTTATTCCTATCTATATTCTGAAGATTTTTACAGAAGGGTTTGTTCATTTATCACTCGCCTGGATTTATACAACATTTTATTCCTAAACAAGGTGAAATTTTGTTTCTTCTGTCTGTTGACAGCATTTTCTGATTTATAAAGTGATAAAAAGAGAAATCCAAAATCCCCTCTATAAAAACCTTTGACTCTAATATGACAACAAAATCAAACAAGAATTTTGAACCAATGTTGAGATTTCTGTTCTGCACATTCCTGCAAATGTCTGCGTGTTTACAGTTTTTGCCTATTGCTTGAACACTATAGACACATGCTTAGACCAAAGTAACAAAACTTGAAGCTTTTGTTACTATACCTTAAACACAGTGTAACCATACCTTAAACAAAAGCGCTGCTTTGCACTTCAGTTGCAATTCTGCAACACACTTGCTCCTGCACACTACACACTATTTCATACATAAGACACTTCGTTCATAAATGAAATCTCATGGGTACCATTGGGAAAACACATCTATTCAAAATACAAAACACATTGGGTGATTGAAAACACTTAGACACACACCTGAAAACACTTACTTACAAAACTGATCACCAATCAGCCAACCACAAATAGGCCTCAGTTGAGCCATTTTGAGAACTTTGCAAGCATGGAGGCAGGGAGAGCAAGAGGCAGAGGCAGAGGAGGACAAAGACAAAGAGAGAGAGGAGTAGGACATGGTCGAAGAGGCTATGCACGGAACAATATTTCAGATGATATTAGAGCAACGTTGGTGGAATCCTGTGGCCAGACCCAAACAGACGGCAGGATCTGTAATCCCACCCACGCACAATTGGCCTGTTTTTCAGTATTTACTGTAGTGTATTTTGTGTTTTATTTTTGTATTATTTTTGCATTACTGCATTTACTGTACTGTACTGTACTGTAAAGTATAGTACTGTGATGTGCAGTATTGAGTTGATGTCATTTGTAACCTTTCAGTACTTTCATTTTTGGTTGTTGTGAAAACCTTTGTTGGAAAAAAACAGAACAAAAACTGTAAGTGTTGCATTGAGCTTCAGAAAATTAAAGTGTTTTATATAAAGTACACTAGTGTGTTGCTGCTAATCTGAAAGTGTATTCATATGATGTATGATGCAATCATTTTGTCATCAGAGTGACATTTTGACAAAGGATTGTTAGGTTTTGATAGCAGAGTTTCAATTCGACATAGATGTGAATGGTTTATTTCCCAGTGTTGTGTCTTGTGTGCTTGTGTGTAAAGTTTTGACACAATGAGCCGAAGTTTTGCAAAAAGTGTTCAAGCAATAGGCAAAAACTGTAAAACACAATCGACTGATGAGCAAATCAATATACACTATATTATAATATGGACACATGGGCGATTCTAGGATTTTTTCAGCTGGGGGCACAAGAGGGGCCCCAATTAATACAGAGGGGCCAATCTTATGTTGTGTATTTATATGTAGAACTGTAGATATTCAAATCATTTAAAGTTCAGTAAGCTTTAAAATCAGCAATAAACAGTAATACCTTATTATCTTTTAATGGCATTTATTCACTGCTGTAAATCAGAACAGTCAAATACAATTTGTATTACCTTTTCACTTTTCAGGAGTCAAAAACTGTAATAAATAAAATAATCCAATGTGTGAATAGAGTACAGCTCACAACAATAATAAAACTCAACATTAATGCTTTAATGCAGGGCTGATTGATGAGCTGATGAGTGGCTGTTGATGGTCATCAGAAAGATGGTGAGAGAGAGTGCTGTGTGTGTGTGTGAGTGAGTGAGTGAGTGAGTGAGTGAGTGAGTGAGTGAGTGAGTGAGTGAGTGAGTGTGTGCACAATTGGCCTGTTTTTCTGTATTTATTACAGTAGTGTATTGTGTATTATTACTGCATTTACTGTACTGTAAAGTATAGTACTGTGATGTGCAGTATTGAGTTGATGTCATTTGTAACCTTTCAGTACTTTCATTTTTGGTTGTTGTGAAAACCTTTGTTGGAAAAAAACAGAACAAAAACTGTAAGTGTTGCATTGAGCTTCACAGAATGCTAACTGATGAACTGAATAAAAACAGTGAAAATTAAAGACTGCAGTGTTTTATATAAAGTACACTAGTGTGTTGCTGCTAATCTGAAAGTGTATTCATATGATGCAAGTGTGTATCATTTTGTCATCAGAGTGACATTTTGACAAAGGATTGTTAGGTTTTGATAGCAGAGTTTCAATTCGACATAGATGTGAATGGTTTATTTCCCAGTGTTGTGTCTTGTGTGCTTGTGTGTAAAGTTTTGACACAATGAGCCAAAGTTTTGCAAAAAGTGTTCAAGCGATAGGCAAAAACTGTAATTAGATAATGCCTTGTTTGCATATTTAAACATAACATTTCAGAAAACTTGTAAAACAAATGTTTACAATTGTTAAAGTTCCCCTGAATTGCTTAGAGACACGCAGCGTTACTCTGTGTTGACGTCATTTTAACTGAAACAGGAAGACAGGGCGGGACATATCAAGCAGC